CCAAGGTTTGTAAGCCGTGTGCCCCAACCCCAGGAACGGAAATAAATAAATAAATACTTAAATGGATTTATTCTCCAAAGGTTCGAGGCACGCCTCACTGGGCATGCCTATGGCGTAAGTAAACAATGGGTATTTAGCCACACTGAATGGTAGGGTATTCTGAACTGAGCAATTTGAAATCGTCTTGAGGTCGAACTGCAGCCCTTTGTGGTCGTTCGGTCCTCTGATCGCTCTCCATATCTCTAGATCGTCTGCGAAGAATAGAAAAGCGGAACTTATTCACCTCGCTAAATCGTTTATGAAATTTAGCGATAGGCAGGGCATGAGCACAGAGCTTATGGATACAACACATTCGACTTGTTGATGCAAACCAGTGTGAAAGCATTCACTGGCCAATTTGACGCCGAACGGAATTAAATCAGCCATAACTGCGGTTACTTCATGGAACACAGGATTGAGTGAAGTCAACCACCATCGGTCCAGCACCATGGTACCTAGGACTGAAAGGCAAACGAGTAGTTGCCACAGTGATGGAGCGGGGTGGACATAAGGCGCACCCCATTTGAAGTATTTTCCATCACGAAAGAGCTTCATTGGGATGAAGGGAACTTGCTGCACATGTAATCACTGGAGGCGTCGAACAACAATCAAAACGATAGTTTTGCATTCGCTGTGAATAAGGTGTTTTGTATGTTCGATGAACACTTGTTAATTCCATGATTATCGTTACGCTACCGTATGTAACCGGATTTCCTGTTTAAACTCCTCTCGTCTACGTACGCTTGAGGTGCCTAGATCAATCCTCAAGTTGACGGATCGAAGCCACAGTATCGAGCCAGCATGAAAAGTGTCACTATTCGTCAACCGGTTGTCTAGGGTGTGAGACTTTGTCTTGTTCTAACCCAGATTTCACAGGTTCGAATCTGCTTAGATGTAAGCTACTTAACAATAACGTTATCCCGTATGTGACTGGTGACCGTGCGTGGCGCTGATGCGGTGGTATGGTGTGCTTGCGCACTGCTAACGCCATTCAATATCAGCCGCACCGGACGGATCACACAAATGATAAGAACACTGTGAACCGATGAGCGATATTGCAACGTTCGTCATCAAGCTCGTGCTTTCTAGTACCTTAAAAATGCTGTTATTGCATACAGAAGCTTTCCATTTTCCCGGTTAACTTTCAATTCATTTTTGTCTCACTGAGGTTAGTTTTCATTGATGACGGTAGAAATTTGTTATCGACGTTAGACATGGAAGAGGAACACCTTATCCATTCTACACAGTATAAAGCAATTATATGGCGTGTACAAGGGGAAAGAAAGGAAAATAACAAAGCAAGCATTCGTATGAGTCAATATGAAGCACACGTTCTGTTACTCGGTTGCCAGGCACACGCAATCTCAATCCAGAGCACAATTCATTTGGAAGTGATATCCTCAGATTGCATGTCCTCATTCATTCACCCAACCGGTGCTTCAAACTGCGGCCACTGCAGTCAATCATCC